AGTAACCATATGGCTCCAGTGGGCTGCGATGCAACGTTCCGTTGATTATTCACGTTGCGCGCATACAATCAGTAGCGTTTTTAACGAACAGCAATGAATCGCACATTGTGTTTTTATGTGTCGCCGTTAAGGGCACCATGAGAGCAATGGCAAAATGATAAAAGAATGTGTATCTGTTCTTAACCATACACCGTGCTTACTGTAATGGAGGGGAATTGAGAGAAATGTGCAGTTTTATTGTTAAAATGGAAACCTAAAAATTTTACTGTTAAACAGTTTGATTTCTCCTCAAATTGGGGTTGAAAATTTCGTCTGACTGATTGGTCGTCAAAGGTTTGTTATGTTAAAACTGCAGAAGAGTCGATGAGCAAGGCAACAGATTATTGGTGGAACGAGATCAACGAGTTCGGAATAATCGACAAAAGCTATAAATTCAGCGTTGATATGCTTGACATCGGTCACTGGACACAGGTATATCGCATTTGTAGCATCCTCATCGCCTTATGGAGTCGTGATTGGCGATGACGATATTCTTCTTCGAGCCCTCGAAAAATGGCTCTCAGGATACGAAGGACCACGCTAACGGCTTTTTTTGTTCGCAGTGCTTACTGCAACCGAAACAGACTTCAGTCAAATAGGTCAACGCATTAGTTCGTGGTGTTATGGGCCTTTGAACAAATACTTTATGGCGATAGTTTCAATACAACACCCTTTGTTGCGCATAAGTCTGCATTCCTTTTACATCCTCTGATAAATATGTACATCGGGTTGACAATGATCAGAGAAAAATTTCGTTTCAGATGGCCTGGGGGCCAACTTCGAAATTAGGTTGCGGAGTATCACATTGTCCACGGATGACAAAAGGATATAGGTCAACTATTTATGTGGTTTGTCACTACAGCGATCGGTATGTTAAGCAATCTCTTATAAGTCTCACATAAACATAATGACTCAGTTGTAAGTAAGTTTAAAATTTAGGCTGCAGCAATATATTAGTTCAGTTAACAATTATTAATTCTTGTGATCTTATTGATATCATTCTCACCGCGTCAAATTTCGCTTCCATCATTTTTTCGATAATTTATTCAAACCTGTTATCCTCTCCAGACCACACGAACATCGATCTTCCTGACTGTTATTTCAATTATTCCGACTATTGTCTCCAAAAAAATCTTGATAATAGAGCATCGCGTCAAGTAGATCTGCGTAATTTTTTGTTCAATTTACAGAGGAAATTATAAAGGAGAGCTGATCTATGATTTCGGCAATGGATGCAACAGAGATTTAGATTGTGACGCATTCCGCGGATCGAAATGTGAACCTGGAACCAATCTGTGCATTGCACCGTTAGCTATCTGATGATTTCATTATACTGAATACATAATTCAGCGAAATAATTACGCCTTACCGTATTGCCCCGTTCCTTGGCTGATTTACGAAGCTGAACCCAAAATTAAAAGCGGCCTTAAAAGAGCCAATCGCCATTGAAGGAATTCGACTGTAAATTCATTCGATTGTCGGCAGAATGTAACCATTTCACTTGTCACGGTAGCCTGAACTTTATCAGCCAGAGACTAGACGTAAACATCGGATAGCTTACTTCGAGGTGTTGCGATAAAATTCATGGGGATGAAACGCATCTAGGTGACATATTTCCAGGGCTAGCCAATAGATCTGGTAACCATGACATCTTCATTTGCTCACACGTTCTTAGTGGTTATGTTTGCGCTATACTATCTGAACCACTCACAATAACTTGGTTTTGAACAAAAGTCACACCAGGACAAATTCTAACTCAGCGGTTCTCACGTTCGAGTGCTCCATTGGCCCTTTTGTTGACCCGGCAGGCCGCTGTTACCCCAAAATTGCCCAAAACGGGTAAAATGACTTCGTATGAGAACTGTTGTCCTAGACCGTTGTGTTGCTATTATTGCAATCGGATATGATTGCATGAAAGCTATGGTCTATGACTCGCGCACTTCAAACTCGTTTAGACGATTTCTCATTCTTTTCGGACGTGTTCTGCTCGCTCTCATAGCTATTGCATGTGAATATCGTTCTATTGATGGTTTTTCTCATTCACTTCGTCTCATTTCAATTCACAGTTTGAATCAATTTCTCATTCAGTAGCACATTCTATTTACTGGATACGTCGACGAGTTTTGGCAGCCGAAATCAACAATACGTTCGACAGTCAAATGATCAATTATCGAGTGTTTTTGATAGAATGAGAATTTGACTTGAATTGTTGAGTGAAATGAATGAGAAATTAGCGGAAAAGAACACTTTTGGTGATAAAAGCTATGAGAGCGATTGTAACAGCAAGGGCCCTGTTAGGCGCTTGCGAGCTAATCATACTCACAATCCGAAAATAGGAGAGTGAAGAGTGTTGCCGTCAACTAACACCATTTACATATCCCACCGAAAAAACACTGTCACCATGACATTCAATCATAAAGTAACAACTGCACGAAATACTAATTTCCCGCCTCCTCCATTACCGCTTCACACCTCCAACCTACCCCAAAATGTCTATTTTACCCGCTATGGGAACCATTGCTCTAAGTGATTCCGTTGCAGAGGACAACTGTTGAGTCCGCAACTTCAACCTAACCCAAATTCTCTTCCGATAGCGAGTCCGAAGGAAACATCACGAGCAGATCGTGATGCTCATGAAAGGATACGGTTCCCTAAGGTTAAGCAGTATTCTCGTCCGAAACCGAGTCCGAAGTCAAAACGACGAAAAAATAGTAATGCTGATAAATACTTAATTTTTTCTCTAGTTATATAAATTTGTGATAAATATTCGGCTATAAAACAACCAAAAAGTTAGTCTATCTTTAATCTCAAGAACCTGTTCAGTTAACCATTGCAGCAGATGAACAATCATGAATTTTCTATTGGTTTGATGAAGAGCTCAAGTGTTCTACTACCTGTGGCTCCTGTACACTCATTGTTACAGTTTCGGCCTCTAATAAGGCTTGTGGTGAAAGGTTTTGCTATCAGTTGACGGGGAGCAATAAGCGATTGATTGGCTTGTATTTTCCAGCCAATCTATAAGCGAATGAAATGTTGAGGAATACATACGCGTATGAGAATAAATGTTGGAAGCATCACAAAAAAATTTGATTGATATTATTTGCAGAATGTCGGTCGAAAGTGATGACAGGCAAACTGCGTAAATATGTCACGAAAACGCATAACGACCTCAGATGGAAAACCGCTAAAGGGAAAATACAAAATCTGCCAAAAGCAAGCAACATGTATTCATTGGTGAATTTATTCGAAGTTGCTTATTCAGTTGATGATTTACTCACTCGAGGAATTTATTTTTTCATTCAGTTGAGTGTCCGTCTATTTAGCCACATATTTCGGCATTTCTCGGGAACACAGCCTTTCGAAGCAATCGCACTGTTGATAGGGTCGTGCAGATCATCACTCTGATATTTACATACCATTTCGTTTGCTCTCAGTTACCATCAGCAAAATAGTCACAGTAATTTGTCTCAAGTCGATACTGTCAAGCTAACTGCAACATCGTATTTGAGGTGACAGAAAATCTGCGGAATCACACTGAGTGTGACACGCGTACATCGCTCACTCTGATTATTTATTCTATAGTTTCATAAAGAAACTCAACTTGATGCCACTAAAATGTTCGAATATTATAGACCTATGACTGCAGTCTAGAGGCTCAAGCCGAACAGTACGCTAATCGATGTGATGTTCAGACTCCGCGGCCCGATGGCATCCAATATAATATCGGCAATAGAACTAAAAGCGTTTGTAAGTAGTTTTTGGCAGATTCTTTTCAATCGTTGAGTGACTGTTCATTCACCATTATCAACTGTTTTCGAACTCCAGAACCAACCACTTTTCTTATATATTCTTTCATTGGCTTATTTGTGCCGAATTAGACGAAACAATCGCTCGCACTTTGCTGGTTTTTATGGTTGTAAGAGAACTCAAGAACCTCTGCTTTTAAAAGCATTGAAGTGAATCGAAGTTTTCGTCAGAATGCAAGCGAATGTGTGAAAAAAAAAAGAAAAACCGTCTAGTCATGTTGTAAGATGATTTTGTTTGTCCCTTAAACAACGCATGTATCACAAGCGGTTTGTTCAGTTGCCGCTATCAGAAGGACACTGCGAAAATGGGCGAAACCAATTAAAGAAGGTAAAAAGTGGCGAAGTCGCGACGCCTCTACTCAGGTTTCAAATATATTTACCGAATCACGCAGCATTGAGATTCTAATTCAGTTTCAATCAATGCTTAATTTCATCGACATGAAATTGTTAGCTTCCACCTCAATACAGCATTTTATTCGACGTTGTCGTTGTATATAAACGATTTNGGAAGGGACTGAGAGGAAGTCTTACAATTGGACCACGTTGAACTCGGTGAATCACTGACTACAAGTGACAATCAAGGTTCAGAAAGAATAACTGCGGAAGGCCTCGAATAGGGAAGAATGCCTAAACATTATTTGATACTCAGCATTCCATAACTAGAGTTAGCAATCCATAATTCCACACTGGGATGCGGAATGCGATCACGTATGGTACCTGTGATGCCCTCTCAGTGATACAGCTTTCAATCTATTGTGGATTTCCTTGGCTGAATAGCGAAACGAACCCAGCGACGACTTAGTCATTTGACTGAAGAATAATTCAGATGATTTGGGCGTCAACAACAAAAGTTGGTTGTGGTGTTGCGATGAATTGCTCGATGCATGTGCAACGAAACCTTCATCCCATTGTCATTACAGCATGCATATACGAAGAAGCGTACGTATTTCACGCAATCTTTCGATTTTTTCCTTTCGCCATTCCTAATTGAAACTTCAGCGCACCGGCCAAAGAGAGTTCCATTGTCAAAGAACGAGCAACGAAAAGAAACGCTTAATTTATAGCGTTACTGAAAAACTCTTTTCAATGCTCAAAATCAACTTATATTTCTTAAATCAACTTATATTTCTTCCGTTTTGACCAACATGCACCAGAATCTATCAGTTTTCCAAAAATCAGCACTAGTCATGTTTAGTGCATCAGTCTATAGCATTTTCCCTTTGATCATACAATTCAAACGGCGACGAATATCCTTTGTTGCGGGGGCGACCCGGGAACTCTAACCGCTGATATTTTCTGGCACCTGGCCCATAATAATGTGACATTTCCGATGGATATTTTGACGCAAATAATAGAAAATATGGATCAAGTTGGAAGTTGTGTGAACGTCTTGATCAAGCTTTCAATTTTCA